ACAATGAAATGAATAAAAATTGGGGAGATATGCAATACAAATTAATTAATGATTTACCATATATATGAGCAGGAAAGGCCATCAAAAAATTAATTTTCTTTGTTAGAGTTTGTTTAAAGTTTTCTTTCTTGCTTTAGTTTTACTTGCTTGCATTTTGATTTCTAGTGTGAGTTGACTCAGCAGTTTTAAAGTCAGATGTTTCCAGGTCATTAGCCCTCTGGGATGTGACTTATTTTATCTTATTGAGAATTAAAACACATCTTCTTTAGTTACATTAAAATACCAACTAGCAATGAATCAGGATTTTGCTCTCTACTTCTTATTTGTTTGATTTTCTTTTGACATAGTTTGAAAATATTTTTAAGAAGACATGTTGTTAAAGAAAAAGAAAATCACTGCTTTGAGAAATTGTCTGTGTAGTAACTTGGTCTTTCTCCTCTGCCATTGCAAATAACCAAGTAAGTTAGTATTTTGGGTTTGAACCAGACAGAAATAGTAAAAGAGTCCCTTTGACTTTGGAATGAGTTTCTGAAGTTCTTTCTATACAGCCTTGGAGAGTAGACTTTCTCTCTGTGATCCTTAAAAGTAAACTCGTCGTATTGGAGATATTGTGTTGATAATAGGGTAGAACAGATCATCCCTTTTTTAAACAACCTCAGGCCATCATCAGATCAGATTTTGCTGAAGAACCTTAGGTTGCCTATGGCTCATCCCTGTCTCCGTGGGCTGTCTAGAAGCCACTGAAATCCCATGTGTTGGAGAGGTGTATGACAGTCAGGCACCTACATAGTTGGCTTCTCCAATGGGACATTAGGATGGCCGTAGGACCCCGAGGATAAGAGGGGCTTAGACCACAGGGAGAAGACTAAGGTGGATATAAAGTCCCTGCCCAAGAACTCAAGGAGGAACTTTCTCCTTTTTGAGCTAAAAAGGTTTGTTCACTTTTAAAATACACTACAGGGCAGCGAGGTCCAGGCAAGGGCTATCCACAGCCCAAATTGACTTTAACAAAACTTCACAGAGTCCTTCATTCACTCCCTCACTGTAATGGAGTCAGTTCCTGTTCATATCACCCTCCATCAGGTTTCTGAGGCTGGGAATTGTGAAGAAGGAAACTGCCTTTCCTTCTCTGGTGGAGCATCTGGTGGATTCGAGCTCCCAAAGACATGCCTCCAGAATCTTGTAGTTAGCAGCTCAGCACTCTGTGGATTAGTCTGTTGTCCATGTTGATTGTAACAAAGCTTTACTGAGTGGGTGGGGGGAAATATAACCCATACATTTTGCAAATCATCCTTACATAGATATTTTTTATTTTAATTGTGATTTTAACAAAACTTTACAGAAAAGTTAGATTTTCATTCATTCATCCATTCATCCATTGTTGCACATTTTTCCCTCTCTCCTTCGCTTTCCCCTCCCCCAATTCACATTTTTAAAAAATAAAATATTAATTGATTGTTGCACAATTATTCCCCCATAAGTACCCTTTGCAATAATGTCTTTCTTATTCTGGGCTGTTGACCTATGTGTAATGCATAATTATATATTCCTTTTAAGCAGTTCTTTCTTTCATCTGTTCCAATGCAATGTTTGTTTTCTATTTATTTTCACCCTATTTTCCTCCAATTAAAAGAGAAAAATTTCAATGACTATCCCATGTAGTAAAACTTAGCAAGAAAAAACAAACCACACACAATTCCCTCTCTTTTTCTTTCAGAAATCTGAGTATTTCTAGCTAATAGCAGCAATGGTGACTGGAAAATTGTAGAACTTTTCTTTAGCCGCCTTTTTGAAAAATCACTTCTTGTCAAATATTGCCATTATCCAGTGTATATAAAATGGAAAAATATTTATTTAAATACACAGGTGACTCAATGGCACAAAACAACAATAACATACTATGACAGGTTTGGAAGCAAGAGTGACATCCACTTCCTAAACAACTTGCCTCCAGAAGGCCTATGAAATTTGATAAATGTCCATAGTTGTAGAGGGGCTTCAGGCCTTTTGTTCATAGGGTCATTATGAGTCGTGCTCGACTTGAAGACAATCAACAACAACAATAAATTTTATATGAATAAAAATATTAAAAATATTTTCCTCCTAAAGGAAAAGGAGCAATAGTAGGTCACTTACTAAAACACACTCGCATTGCTTCGATTCTGATACATGATGATCCTCCATTGAGTTTTTAAGACTGTAAATCTTAAGAGCAGAATATTGCCTGTCTTTCTCATAAACTGCAGATGTTCAGTAGCACAACACATAAACTACTATTCCACCATTAGTCACAAATAAAAATCCATCATCCTCTTCACGGTTACCTCGTAGGTGCTCTTTAAAATTAGTCTCTTCCTTCACATCACAGATGCTGTGTTATGCTTCCTTTGTCTCTGTTGTTATTGTTGTTATGTGCCATCGAGTCGTTTACGACTCATAGTGACCCTATGCACAAC